TCAGGAGTCTCCAACCTTGGTGACTTTAAGCCTGGTGGACTTCAACTTCCAGAATTCTCCAGAAAGATACTATGGATCAAGGATCTCCAACTTTGGTGACTTTAAGCCTGGTGGACTTCAACTCCCAGAATTCTAGACATAAAGTCTTAATTTTAGACTTAAAGTCACCAAGGTTAGAGACCCCTGCTTTGGATAGTTCCTACTCCACACACACCTTCTAAGGAGGCCTTGATTGTGGATAATATGTCTCCAACTTGCTTGGATATCATCTTTGTTGAAACATAGCACTTGATTCCTTCTACTGGTGGTTTTAAAGTATTCCTTTCTTTCTCCCTTGTTTCTCTGAAGGAAAGCATTTTGAGTAAGTTGGGAGAGTCATCCGCAGAGGTCAAAAGCTTCAGAAAGTGGTGGTCATCCAGCAATGGACAGTGCCACAAATGACTGAAACCATCCCTTTTCTCCTTTGCTTCCAATCTGGTCCAAACGATGATCACCAGATGTCCTTGGAAGTTCTCCATCCCATTTCAAAGCAATGCCATCCCTCCATTCTCCCCCCCAACATCTCAGATAGACTTTATTCTTTCTGAAAGGGCAAAAGGCCTTCTTTTCATTCCAGCCATTGCAGATTGGGACGTCCCCATGAATTCCGTCCAACCAGCTTACCTCACCCGGTCCAAAATATCATGCGTTTTTGGTGCCCAACCCAGCGAAACCTTGGCCAACCAAGAGTGACGAGCTCCATGGCCCGTCCACAGCCGGGCCCTTGTGCCACCGAGACTTATGAGAGTTTTTCTCATCCACGCTCAGGGTTGTCTACCCAAAATTGGAACTTTATTGCAGCTTTTCCATGACTGATTTTTCTCCGTGGAAGGAAGAGGGAGCTGAGATGTTCTACTCGGCTACTTTTAATAGTGGTTTTTTTTTTTATTAAAAGGAGTTGCCTTCCAATTCTTCACATTCAGCCTTGCTCCCTTGGCGTGGGGGTGAAGCTGGCAGCTCTCGTGCAGCGTATGCACTCCGAACACGGTAACGGTGAAGGTCAGTTCCAACTCTGAAGAGGCGATGATGAATACGCTATTCTTGTGAACAACTTTCCCCCCCTCCCCCCCCCCTTGCCATTTCTTTTTCAATGTTGACTCAGTGGACATTTCCTGGCTTCAGAGAAAACCCAGAGAATGGGATGCTTTGTCTCGGGCAAAACATCTTTAAAATGCAACATTTCCATACTGCCGTCCCTTGGCCCTCCCTCCCTGATTTTATGGCCTTTGTTTGCTGGCATGTGTGAAGGAGGGACTTTTCCTGGCCTAGGGCCACAGGCTTGGCATGGAGAAAAAAAAATCTGTATCAGGAGACACGTGAAGATGGTTGTTCGGGGACTTTTTTCCCTTCAAAATCCCTTCAAGGACTTGATCCGCAGTGTAGAAGGAGCCGAGGGATTTGGCGTTTGCTTGTTCCCCAACTTTATTCACCAGCTCTGGTTTGGAGGCTGCTGCAAGATTTTATTCCAAGAAGGGTTTCCCTCTGAAGTGGATTTTTTTTCTTCTTCCTGTTTTTCGGGGTCCAGGGGTTTATCCCAAACAAAAGCACCCAACGGAATTGATTTGAGAAATCAGCGGGAAGTTGAGATTGAATGGCAATCAGTTGAGAAGAGAAGAGGAGAGGTGGGATGGTGGGGGTCTCTTTTTCTTCCCTTCAAGATCTTCGGTGGAACGAATATTGCTGCAATTTTTTTTTTAAAAGGAGATATTTGTCATTTGGTTTCCTACCTGGGCGGTGGGGTCCAACAAATGGGTTTAGGACAACTCGCTATGGCCAACTCAACATGCCCAACTTGCCATGGCCAACTGTTACACTAAGGAATGATGGAATAGAATCTTTAAAGAAAGGATGTAAAAGGAGGGACAACATGAAACGCAAATGATGCAAATTAACATATTCTAAAAATTATTTTAAAAAAATTAAATTGAATGGTTGAATCATCCTGCAGTGAGTTGTCCTGTGGGGAATTGGCCATGGCGAGTTGGCCATGGTGAGTTGGCCATGGTGAGTTGGCCATGATGAGTTGGCCATGGTGAGTTGGCCATGATGAGTTGGCCATGGTGAGTTGGCCATGGTGAATT